AGGGTAAGTGTTACTTTGTGACAGTTGTTGCAGTTACCCACAAAGTGTCTAAATGTTAAATGATTTATTACTGTTAGTCATGGTCTAAACATTTGAAAGCCACTGTCCCATAGTACCTATCATGTAGTAATGCTTAACACTCTGTGAATTGTTGCTGAATGAACAAATTGATAAGTATGAAACAATCCATTTATCACAACTTCAAAGGTTCCAATTTGAAAAAATATAAAGTATAACGCCTATCTGAACAAAAGTAAATGGATTCTGGCTTATGCGAAGCTACGGGGGGTGTGGTGAGAGAAATCTGAGTATTTCTATTGTATTTCGATAGACTTTCTCCCCAATAACTAAAATGTTTTATATATAAGGAAGATTAAAGACAATTTTGTCTAAGTTCATTTGGAAAACTTTTCCCATTCACTGAAACTACCTACTGATTACAAAAGTTCTGCATCTTTAAAATGCCTAGTATAGGTAATTCTACCATGATTCATAAAAGATCTTTCAGAGACACCATGAAAGCCTTTGTTCAAGTTCTTTCTTTGCTCAAGATGCCTCTATGTCCTCTCAATACCCCGACCCCCACCATCTGTAAAAATCCCATTCATCTTCCAAGGCTTAGTTCAAAGGCCACCCTTTCCATGGAAGCGTTTTTTGTTTGTTTGTTTGTTTTTTACTCAATTTTTCCTCTTTCCCTCCGCTACTACCCACCCCAGTCCCAAATATGGTCTTCTCTCTTCTGAATCCCCAGTGTTGAAAACTTCCTTTTTTATTTGTATACTCATCTCATTCCCCACTAGATAATCACATGCACAACCCACAGTTCACTCATCTTTGTACTCCTTATAGCAATCAGCACCAGGTCTTACACTTAAGAAATATCAATTAATATTTAAGTGAACAAATGAAAGTAATGGTTAGCCTGTTAAAAGGGATGGTCACTATTTTAAAGGCCCTGAGGAATGGTTTCTATGTCCAGCAGCTGATCAAAAGCTGGTGGAGAAAAGGAAGGAGCAGATGGCAAGAGAGTGGGAGGTTGACGAGAGGTGCTGTTCCTCAGGATATCTGCCCCTGCAAACTTACTGAATCTCCACCTTTTCTGGGATCCAACTCTACCCAATGAAGCTATGGAGCCAGGTGCAGGATAAGTGCCCTCACCTTGTTCCAAGAGTTCTACTCTTGCTTTAAACCAGAAACGGGAAGTGAAATTAGAAGTAGAAATTAGGGCTACTCTTTTCAACTTTAAGTAAGGCTGAAAGGAAAAGCTGAAACAACTATCTGGACCATTTAGACTCAGAAGGCCTCCTTTGAAAAATAAGTATGGGTGTTTGGGCAGAGTGGGGGTGGGGCGGGTACAAGGAAGTGGGGGAGATGGTTCTTGAATTACTTGATTTTTTCAACAATACCAAGCTTTTCTCTTCATACTGTCTATACAGTCATTTGGGGACACTTTCTGTGACCATTAGACTAAGCTAGCTCTAGTTCAAAGCCACAGTCACAACTAATAAACCGCAATTTGTTTTTTTGGAAAAGAGTGCCTACCAACTGGAAAGAACTATTAGGGTTTAAAATACCATTCTCCTTTGCCATTAACCTGTACCTTTCCCCACCCTCTCCAAAGAAACATTTTTTCCTAAGATGAATTAAAACAATAAGTTTTTAGTGGTGTTTATTTTAAATTTATAGATATTTATAGTTAACTCATGTAGGGCAGGCATGGTTTGCTAAATCATGGTTTTTTTCAGATTTTTAATTTTAGATCAGTATCTTTTAGGGTTCTGACCTCTTTCTTTGGTATTTTAACAGAACCTTAACTTACAGTCCATCAAGGTTTTGTTTTGTAATTAACTTCAGAGATGCCGTCATAAACTGGGAGACATCTGCAGCACTGTCGAAAATGCACTGGATTCAGAGTCAGAAAACTGAGTTTTGAGAAGTTAATGGTTGGTTCGAATATGGCTCCTCCATTTCTAGATGTGTGACCTTGGGCAGGTTACCTGATCTTCCCCACTCTCAATTTCCCAGTCTGTAAAATGGGAATAGTAACAGATAATATTTCCTAAGGCTGTTGTGAAGGCTAAATGAGCTAAAACATATAATGCACTTAGAACTGTGCCTGGTAGGGCACCTGGGTGGCCTAGTTGGTTAAGCGACTGCCTTCGGCTCGGGTCATGATCCTGGAGTCCCAGGACTGAGTCTCACATCAGGCTCCCTGCTCAGCGGGGGGTCTGCTTCTCCCTCTGACCCTCTTCCCTCTCATGCTCTCTATCTCTCATTCTCTCTCTCTCAAATAAATAAAATTAAAAAAAAAAAACAAAAACAAAACAAAGAAATGTGCCTGGTAAATGGTAAGCGTTCAGTCAATGTTAGTTTAAAAATTTTGCTCTCGGGGTGCCTGGGTGGCTCAGCTGGTTGAGTGTCTGCCTTTGGCTCAGGTCATAATCTCAGGGTCCTGGGATCAAGCCCCACATAGGGCTCCCTGCCCACTGGGGAGTCTGCTTTTCCCTCTCCCTTTGTCCCTCCCGCCCCCCGCCGTGCATGTGTGCTCTAACAAATAAATAAAATCTTTAAAAAAAATTCTACTTTCATTTGTTTTATGGTCTCATAGAGACCTTTTACCATTCAAAGCCTCCATTTCCTTATCTATAAAATGAGACTCCTACTACTTACCACCTCCAGGATTGTTATGAGATTCAAATAAGAAAAAAATGGATAAGAAAACATTTGACACACAGAAAGTACTCAAATGCTAGTTATTTTGGATCACTTATAAACTTAAAAATAAACCATAACACTGAATTAGAAAATATGCAAAAATTCATCCATAAACTGAGAAAAGGTCTATGTTAGAAATGCACACTCAAGAAATATGGTTTATCTTTAACTTATCAGAAATATATAAGCTTTTGTAAAATGTAAATTTTACATCTGCAAACTAGAAACACTCTCTCAGTCAAGCCAAACTGTCCCACTATACTGTAAGCAAGAAGGCCTGCACATTTTCATAAGCCAAAGATAAACTGACGCACTGATTAAATGCTGATTGCATGTACAGCAACTTTTTAAAACTGCTTATTTTTTTTTCATTTTTAAAAAAGAACAAATGTGCTGTCGGTAATGTAAATTTTAAGTCAATGCAATAGACATTTATTGTATAACTGTGCTCCAGGTAACCCGGAGGATTTTGGCAACTAAGCATGCAAAGAGAAATAAAGCTTAGATCCTATGCTGGGAAAGCCCACAGATTAGAGCTGATAATTTCAAAATATTACTTGTAAAAGTCATGAGGGGGCTTCAATTTGAATCAGCAAACTGACAAGCACCATAAAAACATGCCAAAGCAGTAAGTTCTTCCCTTTGACTGAAAAACTGTCTTTTAAAAGCAAAAGTCATTTTTAAAGCACAGTTTCTATCGAGAAAACTATTAAATTTGGGCCAGAAACCAACATTTCTAAACGTAAACCTGTAAAATAACAGGTATCTGTAAATGAAAGACTGAAATAACCCCAGGAGCAACAAGACAGTAATTAGCAACTTTTATAGAGTAATAACATCTTTCATATTCTTTCTACACTGGCTCTTTGAAGTTTCCAGCATAATATATGAAAGTTTTATTACATCAGGGCCCATCTTTGTGTATTTTATAAGCACCAGCATTATGCAGAGCAAGGCGTAGTTACTCATCATCGGATTTTTTTTTAAGAAACTGCTCAATAATGCACTAGCTTTGTGTCCAGTTTAGTTTGTTACACCTGGCTTTAGAAAGATAAAAGTCACTAGAAGCCTCAGTCACTGGAAATAATCCACATATCATCTATATAACCTATAAATCTTAAAGCAGTTTAGCTTTAAAATTGTACATTGCATATTCATGTGCACACCACTTGCAGTTTTAGACACATGTGAACTCTTTACTGAATTAAAGCAAAAAAAAAAAAAATTACCAGAGGCAGAACAGAGTGCAGTTAATATGCTTGTTCCAGCAGATGTTCATTCCCGTAAATATTAAACATAACACAAGTTCCTCCAGGAATATGTGGGCAGTAATTTAACCACCTGAATAGGGCTGGTTGGAAACATTTAGGAGATGGGGGGGGGGGGGGGGGGTAGAATAAGGGGGATGCTGAAGCAGCCAATGGGATTTTTGAGAAACCCGCAGCGAGAATTAAACTGCTTCTAGCGGCGATTTACCTACAGCAGCTCCTCAACGTGAGAACGCGGAGCAACAGATCCCGGAGTGCTCCCCGGGCCACCCGCTCCCCAGGCTACGAGCTGTGAGCGCGGAATAAAGGGACACGCGGGGCGCCGGGGTGGGGAGGAGGAGGAGGAGGACAACTGTGGCGAGGTGTGAAGAAAGGGCCCGAAGGAATTGTGAACCTCGAGGAAAGGAGTCTCCCTGGGCCAAGGCCTCTGGAATTCCCGCACGGAGAAACACTCGCCCCCTGTCCCCGGTGTTCACTTTCCATCTCGGGTGGGAGCGGGTAGGAGACAGAAAAGATGTAGCCGCCCAGACCCGGCGCCTCCAGGCAGGAGGCTGGAGCATCCTCTAAGGGCACTTCGCAGCAGCACCAACTCCAGGGGGTCGCTGGTGTGAACCAGAGGCTCTTAGGGAAGAGGGAGGGCGCAAATGAAGCGAAGGGAGGGGAGAGGGTTCTAGGGGCCGAGGGGTGGATCCCCAGGCACTAGTGACACGTTCTAGAAATCGGGTCTTTTTCTCTCCATGGCTGAGCTCTGCCCCCCGGCTCCCCAGATCACCAGCCCCTGGGCTGGGGCGGGCAGCCCCGGGCGAGAGGACAGGAAAGGGGGGCAAGAAGACGGGAAGGCGGCCGTCCATCCACCCGGGGGAGGCAGGAAGGAGCCGGGGGAGCGGGCGCCCCCGGCCCACCCCACCCCCACGGCCGCCGGCCGCTTCGAGCCCCCCGCCCAGGTAAGGGCGCGCGGGCCGCCGCGGCCGCCCGTCACCACTCCCGCGTGCCCAGGCGGCCGGCACAGGGACTCACCACAGCGACTCGAGGTCCCATTCCTGGAGCAAGGCTAAGTCGAAGCTGTCCATGGTGGGAGGTGTCAGCGCCGCCGCCGTTGCCGCCGCTGCCGCCGAGGCTCGGGCCGCCCGCGCGCTGCAACGAAAGGCGCCGCTCAAGGTGCATCCCAGCCGCGCCTGAGCGGCCACCGCCCGCCCGCTGCCCGCCCCCGGGTCGGGCTTCCCTGCGCCCCCCGCCCCCGACTCTCGGCCCGCCGGGCGGGCGGCAGCAGCCGGCGCACTCACCCGCTCCTCGGCTCCCGCGCAGGCACACTCAGGACAGAGCGGCGAGCTCGCCGCGCCGCCGCCGCCGCCGCCGCCGCCACCGCCTCGCCCCCTCCCTCCCCGCGCCCGCCCCTCCTCCCCTCCCTCCAGGCGGCCCGGCCCGCTGCAGCCGCCGCCGCCGCCGCCGCCGCCGCCGCGGTGCTCTGCGCCCGCCCGCCCGCCTCTTTCTCCTCGGGGAGGCGCGTGTGCGCGGGCGA